CTAACTGTTGTAGTTAGCTGTGGAAAACGAAATTTGTTGAATAGAACTGCTGCTTCTAAATTGAAAGGTTTAGAATGGGGGATGATGGGGGAGTTTGTCATGCTCTTTGGTAATTGGCTGAATTGGTTAATTTTCTACTAATTCCTATTTCAAAGTAAGGTACTCCATCTTTTAGATATTGTATCTTGTAAAGTTTTATTTTGGATTTAATTAAGGATCCTATAGTATCAGCTCTAAGTGTTGAAACAATGCACTTAAAAGTGATTAGATAAGTTCTGTGGATATTTGTTTTGGGATGTTTTTAATTTTTGGAAGTAGGAAACTACTGCTCAATAGAGAAAGGTTAGCAAATGCCTCCTTGTTTATCTTAGCCCACAGATTTTACAACTGCATCGAACAAAGGTATGTAGTCAAATTAATGTCTTTGAGGATGCCAGCTGTAGCCTGTAAGCATTAAAAGATTATTAGACCTAGCTAGTGATGCTCCGTGCTATTATGGTCTCTGTAATCTTTCTTGTCAAAAACCAAGAGCTTTATTGTAATAGTAAATTACAACTCTGCAAGAGCACTACTCATATTTACCAAGTATCTTGCTGATGCAGTGCAGTGAAAATACATAAATGATGTCTGCCTTTTAAAAATGTTACAGCCAAGTGTTTGGGGAGGGGAATGAAGAAGTCTGAGAAACTATTCAAGTTTTAAATGCAAATTGTGTGGGTTTGGTATTTATTTGTTTGTTTTGAGATTTGTCTTCAGAGGAATCCTCTCTTTCCATATGTTTGATCTGCTAAAGAACAGTAGTAGCTGCATTTTATTCAAAGAAAACATCTCTACTGTCTCCTAACCATAAACACTTGCAAGTATCTGTAAAAGCTATGACACTTTTATTGTGGTACTTTGGGGGAATTTGTGAGTTTGGATTTTTTATTTCATGAGATCGTTTCACTTACTGCCACAGCCTTTGGAGCAAGCTATGTACTCTATCACTGTGTACCTGTGAGATCAGAGAGAACAGATTGTTTAACTCCTGTCTGGTGCTAATATTCAAATGAGAACTCTTAAATTTTGTTTAGAATAAATTCACCTGCAAGGATGTGTTTAATAGAAAGGAATTTTTTCAGGGAATGAACAAACATTTTGAATGTTGGATTTTAACACTTCTTAAAGCTGGTAGAGAGCACACAAATTAAAGTAAACAGTTGAAGAAGAGTAGATTTGATTTGGAAGGCAAAATATATGCTGTCCAAAACTAAAACGTCATTGTTTCCATACAGAGGGCCCTCAAGAGCAGTGAAAATGCTGTGTGTAAAAAATCTTCCTTACATCATATCTGTGTATATTTGAAGCTGGCTAAAGCAAAGAGCAGTAAGGCTAGGAGCCTTTCATAGTCTGTGTGAGAGCTGCTCAGTTAGTGTGTGAAATATTCAGCTGCAGGGTCATGGCCCTGCCAGTCTTGACTTCAGGAGGGGTGATACTCCGGCTAGGATTTAAAATGGGGCATGCTGACTTGGGATAGTGAGAAGGGTGAGTGAAGTGGATTGGGGCCAATACTGTTTAGTGTCTTCATTCATAACTTGGACAGTAGGACATAGTGTTCTCTCAACAAGCCTGTGGGTGATGTAAAACTTGGATTTGTAGTTGTTACAGCTGTAAGTTCTGCAGCCATTTAGAGGGGAGAAAAGGGTCAGTAGGAACCTTAGTCCAGCAAGGGCAAATGCAAACTCCTGCATCAGAGAGGAGTAACACCATGCAGCAGTACAGGCTGTGGGCTAAGCAGCTGGAAATCACTTTACAGGAAAAGCCCTGAGGGTCCTGGTGGAGGCTTAAATCGAACATGAAGCAGCAATGCAGCATTGTGGCTAAGCAGCCAAACAGCATCCTGGGCTGCATTAGGTAGGAGGAGCCTCACAAGGAGGCCTGGATGGTGGTCATCTCTACCCAGTCTCAGTGAGAGCAGTCTGAAGTGTTGTCCCTTGTGCTGGGCTCCTGAGTACAAAATTGACCTTGGCATGTTGCAGAGAGTCTAGTGGAGGCCATCAGGCTGGTCAGGGACTGGAGGATTTGGTGTATGAGGAGAGGCTGAGAGAGCTGGGATTGTTTAACCTGGGGAAGAGAAGGTTTAGGGTAGATCTTACCAGTGTGTGTAAATACCTAATGTAAGGGAGAAAAAAAAGGTGGAGCCAGGTCCAGTGAAAGGACAAGAGGCCCCTGGCATGAATTGAAATACAAGAAATCCCATTTAATGGAAAAGGTTTTTACTGTAAGACTCATGGAACAGAGGAACAGTTTCTGTCCCTAGAGATGTTCAAGACTCAATTTGACATGGCCCTGAGCAAGCTGATGTGATTAGGCCTTCTTAGAACAGTTACACTGTACTAGTTTGTATCTAGAGATTGCTTCAAAAATATTTTTCTTTGTAATTCTAAATTCACTAGCATAGTGATTTACATTTTTATTTGTAAGTGTAAAGTAGGAACCTCAAAGTGTGTTTTGAGTTAATTTCAATTGTTTATTTATTTTAACAGTTAGACATATACTTTGAAAATATTTTAAAATAAAGAGACTCTCCATAACATTCTACTCTCTGTATTTCCCTCCTTAACTGTGCTGCATTTCTGTTACCTGACTCCAGTATTGTATTCTCTCTGAGCACAAATTCTGTAAAGAATTTCCTTGAAGAAGGAGTGGCTTAACATGATGATATTAACCTTCCAGATCTGGAGACTTGTATGTGGAAGAACAATATGTCTTGATTTGAAAGACACATTCTGCAGCAGTCTGCTCATTTACAACTTCCGAATATTTGAAAGAAGATATGGCAGCAGAAAATTTTCAGTAAGTTCCAGTTTTGAGATTTTTTTAATAGAAACTTTTCTATACAGTTTAGTCTTGTACTCTTGGATGAATACTGCAGTTTTACTTTTAGCATGTTGTGTAGAAATATGTGTTAAAAGCTTGTAAAGATAATTTGGTTTTAATAGATTTACATTTATATTAATAATACCTTGCAGCCAGTGGATTATTCTAATTTCTATTTGCAGTTGTATCAGTTGTAAGATATGAGACCCATCAAATTTAATTTTGGAAACAATCTTACTCTTGATTCTTCATTAAATAGACAAGTGGACCTGGAATTATGTTGTGTTAAAGATTGAATTTGTCTTAATTGAACTACTATAGGGGTTTTCTTATTTTTTCTTATATTTAGAGGTATATTAAAACTTTATTTTGAAACTGTTGAATTGATTCAAATTAACCTTTTTCTTTCCAGTCTTTTTTATTGGGCGCTTGGATGCTCTCAGCTTTGTTTGATCTTCTCCTTGTAGAAATCACTCAGTATATATTTGGCATCACCATCAACAGCTTGCCTTCTGGTTTGTAAGTAGCTTCTAATGAATTGGTTATTTTAGGTATAGTTTCAAGGGATTGTTTTCTGAAGATTTTATTTTAAAAAAACCTTTCTTCATCTAACACTTCAAATTAATCTAATCCTCTTTTGAACTGAAGTGTAAAGGTTCTTGGCACAACTACTGTAATTTCAAACATTCCTTTCTAGCTATGATTTGTGTTTAATTTATAATTTATCCATATGATGATTAGTTTCCAATCCATTAGTCTCATTTCCTTGGTTAACATGATTGCAACATGGCTTGCAGCACACAAATTATTGCTGTATTTGTTCAGTCTAAATTGTTTGGATCCATTCAATTTGTAAAAACTAGAATCAGGTTGTGCTGATTTCTCTCTTAAATCAGAAAGGCAACAGAACTGTAAATCACGTGCTTATGTTCCCTCTTAAATGCATATGCATTTTGTATTGGTATTTTGTATGTTTTTCAAAAATTGAGTGCCAGAGCTTGTTACTTACTCCATTTTGTGCTTGCAGCTGAAGTTCTTACAGCTTTAAGGTGTTCAGTGGTTCTGTTTTGCATAGCCTGTGTTTGAGATTTCTGCACTTAATAAAAGGTGTGCATATTACAGTAGGACCACAGAGCTTGCAGCCCTTTGTGGTTAAACTTGTGGCAAGTGAGATCACAGAGACTTGAGTTTCCATGTGTTGTACACTCTGAGGTGATAATAAAAGCTCTTGGAGTAAGATTTTTAATATTAAACACCATATTAGACCTTTTTTTTTTATTTCTGCTTTTCCAGTGCATCTGTTGAAAGTATCTAAAGACTGATTTATAAGGGACAAAAAACATGTGTTTGATATTATAAAAGTACATTTTTTTTTTTTAGTGTGTGAGTATTCAAAAGAAGTTGAAAGCTTGAGTAGCTACTGCAGTTACTCGTGTTTGTTACCTAGAGTTTGTTGCTAGGACATAGGCTGCTAATGTGTCTGGAGAAATTAATATTTTCCTATATGTAAAAAGATACCTTGTGCAAAAGCAAGGTGTTGTAAATGTGCACATCATACCCACAGGTAGGTAATGAACAGTTTAAACATTTTACGCTTTGATGGTATTTTTATGACTGCAGAATGTAGCGAATTACAAAGAAATCTACATCAAAGATGTTTTTAATTAAGTAAAAGATAAATTTTACCTACATATACTTTCTCATGAAGTCATAATGAATTTGATATTGAGAGAATGAAATTAATTTTAGAAATGTGGGATATACAGTAGTTTCAGGAGCATTTGATTATGCAAATATAAAAAATTCATATATGCATTGCATCATAATTCTTCAGTGTTGTCTGCTTTATTATATTAATAGTCACTTTCTCATCTGACAATATTCACAGTCATTTGAGGTGATAAAAGCATTGGAAAGTTTGACACTGATGCTAGGTTTAGTTCATTTCAGGTGAAACAGCAAAAGATGTTGAACAGATAAAAAGAGGTGCAATTATTATTCCGCTTCCATCATATTTACAATGCAACAAATATATCTGTTACCTTTGGTTATGGAACATCCTTCTATGTAGCCAAGTGCTAGAATTTGGAAAAAGAATCCCTTGTTTACATTGTGAAAGTCCCTTGACATTTTTTCTCTTTTTATATCATTTCACTGTTCATATTATTGAGTGATCTCACACTTCCAGTTTGAAAACTTTTCCTGCGCATGCTTCGGAGGTAATTGCGATAAAGGATTACGCTGATGACTCTTGCCTGGAATTGTTTGGAAACAATGTAGTACAGTATAACATCCAAGCATGTACTGAGATTCATGAGAAAGGTGGTAAAGGCTGCCCAGGGATTGTAACTTGTGTTTTCATCTTGCAGCATCAGGAAGGCAAAACAGATGTGGAAGGGTACAAAGCAGATGAGTACCTGAGCAATCAGAGTAACTATAATTCTTATGGATCTCTCCTTGGCCTTAGGCTTCAGTTTGGAAGTCTTGCCGTGAATAAAATTGTAAATAATGACCAGGTAACACCCTATCATGATAAACAAGGGGATCAAAAAGAAAAAAATCAAGCGACAAAAATTCAATGTATTTACTTCCTTTAAATGGATGATATCAAGCATTTTCATGCAGGTAGTGAAATTTGAGGCTTGGTCTGGATCAGATCGTAAAAACACCAATGGGGATGTTGTTGAGAGGGTCATTATCCAGATTCCAGTGCAAGCCAGCACAGCTTTTTTTGTATTTTTTAGTTCTTTGACATGTTTGGGCTGAACAATAGCCATAAACCTGTCTACGCTGATAAAAGTCAGCAGCCACAGAGCAATGGCTGGATAAAACACAGTGAAAGCCCCGAGGATCCGGCAGAATGTATCTCCAAAAGGCCACTTCTCTGTCCCATGATAGATTATCCGAAAAGGCAAGGAAAATATAAAAACCAGGTCAAGTAATGCGACATTCATCATATATACAGTTATAGTCGTTCTCTTCTTGGTAGTGCAGCTGAACACCCATAGTGCAGTGGCATTCACCAGCAATCCCACTGTGAACACAAAGCTGTAGAAGACCAGTGATGCAATCCTGTATTCTTCTGGGTGGGAATTTTCTGGCATCATAGTTTAATTAAACTTAGGAATAGTTGTTGCACTCCATAAATCCCCTAAAATGAGATAAAATATTGGAAGTTATTCTCAGTCAAATTTAATCTGTCTTTAAAAACAAACAGGAAGATTGTTTTAGGATAGTGTTTAGTGATGAAACTATTGTTTAGCTCTGAAATGTGCTGTTTTGTTGCTTTTTCTGACTACAAATACATTATCATCCTCTGAGGGAAAGATATGTATTGTCAGATTTGTGAAAATAGTATTTATAAGCGTGTTTTAATAAAATATTTTAATTACTTACAGGGTCTCTTAATATAAGGAATCAAACAGTCAAGATTGACATTTCAGGTGTGCATCAGTAGCTGATAGTTATATTGAAATAGCTATATTTGAGCTACAACAGCTGTTTTCTAAAGAAAATATTTCTTCAAGCTGTCTCTGTTAAAAAATTCTTGACTAAAACTAGTTATGAATAGAAACAAGTCAGCATGGCATGTAGTGACATTTGGATATGTAAAGACTACTGACTTTGCCTTTTATCTGTGTAGGACCTACTTAACTCCCAAAAGAGCAGGTGCTTGCTCATTAAAGACACTTAAAAAAACTCTTTGAGTATCTGCACAGTTTCTAATACAGTGTTTAATCCCAGGGCATCAGAACCACCCACCCAATATATGCATAAAATTAATAGATTAATAGACTTGCTGTTTAAGAAACTAAAAAGGAGGAAAGCAGCACAGTCTCCAGTCAGGCCATATGGGAACAGTATTTGTCTGGGGGGAAAAGTTGCTGTCTGGTGGACAGCTACCCCAGAGCAAAGTTATGTTCCTTCATCCAGCTTCTTGGTCATAGGAGTTGGACATCTGAAATGTCACTGTGCAGGCTGAGGTGATGAGAGCTGAAGGAGAGGATCCCTAGTTTTCTCTGGAGCCCATGAGGATGGCAGACCTTACCTGGTGTTTGCATGAGTGCTTTGTTCAACCCTCACCCCCAGCACTTTCCTGGCTCTTGGTGTGGTCACAGTTTCATGACTTTATGTGGGAGGGTTCCTCTTGTTTGGCCTTTTACCCAGCCCTGTGGCAGCTTTGTGAAGAGGAGGAGGAACAAGTTAGTTGTTTGTCTGATCTTCCTACTTGTGGCAAAAAGACAAGGAAGTTCTACAGTATCTGTTAGGCACCAGAACTGTTCTCAAGAGCAGAAGGGTGCATAGGTCCTGTGTGTTTTATCTCCAGAAGTGAAGAATGCATTAAAAACCAGGTTTGTTGCTATTGCCCATCTGGTTAATGCTCTCAGTGCTACAGGAATTCATAGGAGATTGAACCAGTGTTTATTAATCTGGCATCCTGGTTTGACACTGGCAAATACACTGCTTTTGAGAAGAATACCCCGGAGTAACTAACTTAAATATGACCTGTTAAATCTTTATATAAGTTAGTTTCTGCCTTGAAATATAAAGTTGGGCTTCTCATTTTCTTACAGTTCTCCAGTTTACAGATATATTAAAGTTATGCATAGAAATATTTAACCCTTAACTTCAAGGTCTTTTTTTTGGCTGTACAAAACGAAAAAAAAAAGCGTGTTTTTGTGCTCAGATGAGGACATTAGAACATGTAACAGAATTTATGTTTTGTATGGGAAAAGCCATATATGTAATACAGAATGGTTTGGAGGGCATCTGTATAAATGCCTCTCAAATTCCTCATTGCATGAAGAACTCTAAAAATAAGAAAAAAAAAATTAAATAATGCTAGCAAACCTTATTGAAGGTTAGATGGCATATGCTAAAAAAGTATTGTGCATGTGCTGGCAGCATAGTTAAAATATTGTCTGGCACACTGTTCCACTTTCACTACTGTTGCACAAAATTGTCCAAATGTTGCTTAATATACACTTCCTCCCACCCTTGCGCGTTGTAAGTGGGTTTTTTTCTCTTTTATTCTGTTATTTTTTCTCTCTTGCTAATGATTGTGTTTGACAGTGCAGAACTACCAAGCTCAATGTCCTGAGTGATTTGGCAGATGAATTGAGTAGTAATGTATAAGACAGGTAGAATAATTCATTTAAATATTAAGAAACATCATGGATTTTAGTTTTGATTTTGCTTGTCTCCTTCAGACTTAGAGCGACTGTATTTATTTCTGGTCAGGTCATGTTTTCAAAATAACCAGTAGCCTGATTTTGATAGGAAGAGAGGAAGCTGAATCTGGTGTGATCTACTTTTCATGCCTGATTTGCTGGTCATTTCAAGTTTGTGATAGTTTTGAGATATATCAAAGAACTGACCTGCTGTAACAGAAAGGGTTTTTTTGTTGTTGTTGTTGTTTTTTTGTTGGTTTTTTTTTATTATTTTTTGCTTGGTTTTTGGAGACTGTTTCCCAACTTTGTGAGTTTAAATGCATGCCAGTTAATTTTTAAAAACCTAAAATGTAACATTTATGTAGGTAAGAAATATTGAGATTTTTAAAAAGCATATGTTACCTATCTGCATTTGTACACAATTTGAGATATTTTGCTTTTTTGTTGGTACTTGTCTGCATGGAGTTCAGGTCGATATCTCCCAGGTCAGCCCAAGCATATCTTTGGGTGCCTCTGGGTGGATGGTTTTGCCCTAGTTGCCATTTTTCATAATGCAAACATTTACTTACTGGTATTGGTTAAAGCACTTGCTGAAGAGCCCTTGGAGTCACTGGTTTCTGGAAGACTGGTCTGTGTTAATTCTGAAGGATTCCTCTGTTGTTTGTCTGTATGTTTTATCAATCTTTCAATTTTTTAATGATAACTGACATTCTGAATGTGAATTGTGAAGGCCAGCTATGTGCCCTGTTCGAGAACAATACGTTGACAGCAAAATCACAATTAAATATTTTCCTCCAGATTCTTAATGTGTGTTAGGTAACAGTGGTTCCATTTAAAGAACCATGTGTGTGTCTCCATTCCCAATCCCCCTTTTTACTTTGTCTGTCCCTTATCTTTGGTTGCATTTCCCCAAGGAGAACATGGCTTTCAGTGAAGCACAGAGACACCAAGTAACATGATCTCCTGGTTTTTGTTTCATGAAAACAAACATTTTTCTTTTAGTGATAAATGTTCTTACCAATGTTTTCATTTGTTGCATACTCTTAAAATTTTTGTTAAAATCCTAAACAACAGTATTTATGGTGCTATGCTTTTACAAATGAAATAATTTTTCTTTAAATGTTCTTTATAGAATGCTGCTGATATTTTGAAAGTGCATTAAAAATTAAATATCTTTTCATTAGTTCTAGAATTAATGCCCATGTTGTACTTCTGAGCAAAGTCTCTTAGCAACATATATGAACATCCAAGTTACTTTGTTAGCACGGCATAAGGGATCGTTACTAACCTTTTGTGCTCTACAAAATTTCTTCAGAGATGCTTCTTTCATGGCCCCAAATCTGTAGAAGGTTTAGACTTCCTCTGCTCAGCTTCATTTAGCTAAAATAGCTCCTCTTCTCAGGCAGGAAACAGTGACGTAATCTCACTAGTGTTGAGCTCTTTTATTGGTCGTACTTAAAAGTTACTATTTCACATAGGTGTGGTGTCTGTGAACTGGTATTTCTATTACCTTTCAACTGTCAAACTTTTGTATATTTCCAGCGTGGTCAGACTGGGCTGTTGTGCTACATATATTTTCAACTTTTAAATGTTTGTGGTATAATGAAAGCATATTTTACGTTAAAGTTTCCGTAGAAAGCTATCTGCAAGAATACACATCTTGGTTATGCGTAAGTTTCTAATAAGCACAATGTAAATGTATTTTCACTAGAGCATAGTCTGGTGGGTTTTTTGTGGAAATCCCCATTTTATTTATATTGCCTTGGATAGTAGTCAGTCTGAAAGTGACAGAAAGTCACTGCATTTGAAATGAGAAGTTTGATTCACTTGAATACACAGCTTTTTATGCCTGTACTTGCAATATTTTATTAGCACAGCAGCAATATTTCTGTTTTTCACTTGCTGTCTAAATTAATAACATGTTTATTTATGAAAAGAGGTTTTAGCCTGTGTTAAAATGGAGTAAAACTCTCAGCTGTGTCACTGCAACAGACATCTTAGGTGGGATGGGAGTATTCACAAAGGATTATAGGTGAAGAAGACTAACTTCCTATGTTTCATCTGTCAACTTGAGAAAAGATCCACCCTTCAGAAAAGCAGTTTGGAGAAGGAGCTCATTCCATGTTCTTTGTAGAGTGCTTGTTGCTTCAGGTCTCTGGCTGGCAGTCTTTGGGAGATGGTAGTGGAGAGCTCTGTGTTGAGTAAGGGAGCAGTAATGTTTTGGTCTCCACCTGACATGTTGTCAAGAATTTGCCAGGTTGTTCACTTGGTGCCAGAAGCAACAAAGTCCTGCAGTTCAGAAATTGCCAGAATCAGATTTGTTTGTGAGAACATCTTTCTTTACTGGCTGTAAAACTAATGTAGGTAGGTGATCCTCACTTAGTGCTCAAGATAACTTCTGGGAAAGGAAGCCCCTCTGAAGTCATGTAATTTATCTCAGCTGAATGGGTTTGTGTTAGTGTGTAGGTGTCTGCATAGGTTAGTGTGATGGTTAAAGTAATTAGAGGGAGGGACCTGGACATGATTTTTGGTGTGTATAGATTACCTTTAAATATTTAGGGTTTTTTTTCTGTTCAGGTGTACTAATATGAAACTTGTTTTTTTTATGATCATTCCAAAGGCCTTTTAAATGCGGTGAGCTGCAAATCCTACCCAGATCACCCTAGAGAAATATAAATCTATTTAAAAGTGCTTAATATTTTAGGTCTAAGGAGTGTCTTAAAAAGACTAACCAGTGCTGAAAACTCTTCAGTGGCTTTATCATTAGTAAAGCAACTCCAGAGCATGGTTCAGCAGAACAAAGCACTGTTTTCAACTGTTCAGTGAAATTCAGTGCCATATGTATATCTTCTGGAAGAGAAGAACTGTTCTTTTGAATTCTCCTAGGCAAGAGTACTTTATTTTGGGAAAATATACAGAAGTGTGGAGGCACCTTCCAAGCTGAACCACACTGTAAATGCAGTTTATGTATTTATGTTTATTCAGTTTATGTTTATGCTAAAACAGGCAAGTGGACAGCTAGTGCCTTCCTTAGCAAAAGAGCAAGTACAAAAGTGATTCTGGGTTTAATGGAAGGTGGGCAGATGTTGAATTTGGCATCAGAGAACCTATATGCTGTGAGTTGTCTCTTGGCTTGTTGTCTTCTTGGGGGAGGGTGAAAAGTGTGACCTCTTGTAGCTGTGTCATTTTGACTGGAGGGTGGCTGATGTTCTGACCCTGCAAGGGAGGTCGTGCATTGTGAGGGCAGCTGGAATCAAATCCCACAATTTACACAGGTGGCTAACAGCAGCCCAGTTGAGTTTGCTGGCAGGTTAACCATCCATCTGGTTTGCTGCACTTTGTCAGTCTGTGTTCTGCTTTCACTCAGGCTTTTCACAGCCTTCCTGGTGGAGAAGAGGCAGCCAAACCTCTCTGCTGCTTGTAGGCTGGCAGGCCTTCCCCCAGGTGTGGAGAGGTAGGTAGCTCTGTTTGGCAGCAGGAGGCTGAAGAGAGGTGTTTGCAGTACCAGCAGTTGCATACTCCTTGTCTAGGTGCCCAGCTGGCTGCAGCTACAGGGTGATAAGCATTTGCAGGTGAACACCCTAGTCAAAAGTTGCACTGCCTGTGGTTTGTGAGAGGCAGTGGGCTGCTCTGCAGTGCCGCATTCCCCTGTTACTTTGGTTTCTGCTGTAGGAAGCACCTGGCTCTATTTTTATTTCCTTTGCTGTTTTATCAGCTAGAAATGAGTGTCTTGCATTGGTTTCCCACAGATGGGTGAGTACTTCCTCTGCTCCAGCTTCTACTGAATTAAATGCTCACTTCCATCTGGGGTCTTCTTTTGCTATTCTGAAGTTCGAGCAGTAGACAAGGTAATTTTTGTTGCATTATGTTGTGCTAAGGCTGGTTTTAAATAGTTAAAAGCTAAGCCAGTGTACTTCCTATCTGAGAATAAGGCAGAGTGTATGTGGTCTGTTATGGTGTCTTCACTAACTGGCAGTAAGCTTCAGAAGAAATGAGTTTGGTCACTTGCAACAACCTCGAAGTGGAGCACTGAAGAGATTGCCTTCATGCTGTTGCTTTTGCAGAATTAATGTACTGCTGGGTCTTTCTCTAGTTTAGTCATGGTACAGAAAAGTCTGTTTTTCCTGTTCACTTACTGTGTAATGTAAGCTTTGTTTAGCTGATACAGAGAAGTTCTGGACACAGTGGGACAGAGGATTACCCTCTGTCTCAGTTTAACAGGGAGCTGGCTTCAGCTCATGTTCTTCTTCTCCTTTCAACCTTTCCACCGATGGGATCTATTGAAAAGAAAGAACTGAAGCTTCTTGCATGGTTCACTGCCCCAGTGGTGCAGGAAGCAACTCTCCCATGTCAGTTTGTTGACTTACCAGCTTGCTGTTGTGGGTGAGTTCACATTCACTTTTGGGTTACTGTTCTCAACCTTGATGAGAGCTGGCCTCATTTTTTATTCCCATACTGTGTTCACCATAGTGAATACTGAAGAATAAACTACTGGTTAAAAGTTGGCCATGAATGCATAAAGTTATTGCAGTTGTTTCCAGTTTTGCTGTGTGTGTTGCTCAGAGGCTGCGTCATGGCATAGCTGTCCCTCCTCTCCCACTCGTCTATGTGGGGGGTATAAATGCAGTGTGCAGCAGAGCTGAAGGAATGGAAAAGGGAGCAGATTAAAGAGAACTGCAGCCTAGTTAGCTGTACCTGACATGTCTTATTTACTGTCATAGTTTGCTTTCTCTTCCCTGTTTTACTAACACATTGTATGGTTTGAGGAAGGACATGTTTTTTCCCCTTAAAAAAATCAACATTCCATGTTTCTCCTGGGTTCATTTTGGTTTTTTCCTAGCCCTCCTCCCTTCCCTTCATCCCCCTGCACCAACTCTCCTACAGCCAGGACATACCCTGTGTCCTAAATAACCTAAAAATATACAGTGCATCTGGCCTGTAGTTGATCTGTTTATCACTGTCAGTCAGCCTTTGAAAGAAACAATACTTCAAAAATTAATTAAAATGAAAGTTGAATCTCTGAGATGTCAGTGACAGTGTGGGGTAGTGGGCTGGAGACAGCAGTCTTTACACACCAGCAATCTCAGAGTGTCCATAGTCTAATATTAGCTCATGGCAAATACCAACACAGCTCCATGCTCATTGATGACCCCATGTTGCCTTTGACAAATTCCTGTGTTCTGTTTTTTGGGAAGCAGCTTTCCTAATTCAAAAAGTGCACAATTCTCATGACAGATATTTAACAGTTTTTTTAAACCAGCATGAGTGCTCAACTTTTTTATTTTCTTTTTTAAAACCTGCATTGTCAGGAACTAGTTAGTTACAGTTTGGAAGTGTTGAGGAGAGATTTTTTTCCCAATACTCTTTCCTTACTAAGTATATTGTATGTGGTGTTTTTACTATTAAATTGCTCTTAAAGGTCTCAGGTGCATAAGAAGTATTGTTCTGAAACTTGATATGCCTCCCAGGAACAGAGTTAGTGTTTCAAAAGAAATGTCTTATTTGGAGCTGCATGTACTCAGATTCCTTTGATGAAGTCAAGTGCAGGAGTAGGGAGAGGAGTTCTGACTCCTCCAGAGTTCAGGAGTTTGGACAAGCTCTGTCAGTAACTAGCCCAAGTATATGTTATCAGAAATTAAACAATTAAAAATTGCTACTTAGGCTTTAGCAGAGCAGTGAAGGGTTTAATCAAAAGTACCTGAAGTGAGAATGGGCTGTGTGAATTAGAATAAGCACTTCAAGGGTGCCTTACAGTGTGTTGCCCAGCCCTGGCAGGTAGCTTGCTTTGCAGAAGTGATGGTCTTCTAATGCTGTTCTGCCTGCACCACCTGTCCCTGGCACAGGTGAACAAGCAGCAGTGTTGGGGTTGTGAAGCTTGGGGTGCTGTGGTGCAGTTGAGGTGACAAAAGAGGAGCATCACAGTGATAAAGGGGCTGACATAATCCAGGTTGGGACAAAGCAGCCCGGTGCCTGCTGCACAGCAGTGAATCTGGTTGGTTAGGAGCTCTGCTGGGCAGGTTTGCTTGGTGTGTAGGATCAGCATTGTCCTGGGAGGGAAATGAAAGAGGTGCTGAGTATGAGTGTTCTCAGTGCACCAGAGCACCAGGACAAGGCCAGATTGTGCTCTGAGCTGGCTGTGAGCAGCTCTGCTGGCTGTAAGCAGGTGATTTCAGAGTCACTGTCTTTTCAGACATGGAGCTAGGTCCAGTCAGAGGACTCTGTATTTCCCAACTAACTGTTCAACTACAAAAATTACATCTGTTTTACACACATACACATACATATGAAAGGGATGGAGCTGAAAATCCTGAGCTTTATCATGACAAGAGGCCTAG